TTTAACTAAAATATTCTTCTAACTTATAATACTCCCCCTCAAGATGTGCTATAGATGTCTGTGACACACATCTTGGATAGCAAAGGAAGAATGCCAGAAGCTGGTAATGGCTTGGTAAAAAGATCAGCGAGCTGATGTTTGGAACCCATAGGCAGAAGCTTGATAATTCCAGCAGAGATTTTGTCACGAATGAAGTGGCAATCAATCTCGATATGCTTGGTTCGTTCGTGAAACATGGGGTTGGTGGCAATCTGGATCGCAGCATGATTATCACAGTACAGAGTGGTTGGAGAAGAAACATTGGCCTGAAAATCACTCAACAACTGACGAATCCACAGAATCTCACTAACAGTAGAAGCAAGGGCCCTGTACTCGGCCTCTGCAGAAGAACGAGAGATAATGGACTGTTTCTTTGATTTCCAGGACACCATGGAATCACCAACAAAGATACAAAAACCTGTAGTGGATTTACGGGTGTCAATACAAGATCCCCAATCAGCATCCGAAAAACCTCGAATGTTAAGGTTGAAACCAGATGTCACCTGGGAAGAGAACAAAAGGCCCTGTCCAGGATGACCCTTCAAATATCTCAGAAGGTGATGCACTGCTTTCAGATATGTAATTCGAGGCTGAGACATGTATTGGCTAAGCTTGTGGACTGCAAAGGTTATATCAGGATGTGATAACGTCAGATAGATGAGTTTGCCAATTAACTTCCTGTAAGCAGAAGCCTCTGGGAGTAAGTCACCATCATGTCGACTGAGAGTTAACTTAGTATCCATAGGGCTGCTCACTGGTTTACAATCGAGATAGCCAACATCCTCCAGTAATTGCATAGTATACTGTCTTTGAGATATTACAATACCCGAAGATGAACGAGCGATCTCAATTCCTAAGAAGTATTTGAGACGACCCAAATCTTTAAGTCTGAACTGGGAATGCAAGAAATCCTTTAAGGAGTTAATCAAATGAATGTTTGGCCCTGTTATTACTATGTCATCCACATAGACTAGTAAAGCAACAAAACAATCTTTAGAACCCTTGGTGAAAAGTGAGTAATCAGACTTAGACTGTGTAAACCCATGCTTTATGAGAGCAGAAGTGAATTTAGAATTCCATTGTCGAAAGGCTTGCTTTAAGCCGTAGATAGATGTATGCAAGCGACACACTAACCTCTCCCCCTGTTTTGATGACCCAAGCAAATCATAACCTAAGGGGAGATCCATGTATACCTCTTCAAATAAATCGCCGTTCAAGAAGGCGTTATTCACATCTAATTGCACCAAGTGCCAGTTAAAAT